TATATATATATATATATATATATTTTCTTTTTTTGTACTTTTTATTATTTTTTCTCTTTTATAATTAAGTTTAATTTGTATTCATTTTTACTATTGTAATCAAAATTTTTAATGAAAATTATATTTAAAAAGAACTTCTGAAAAGCAGGATGGAATCAAGCCACTGGTTAAACTTTCAGAAATACAAGACTGTTTCTGATTATCAGCCTTATATGAACTGTTTATAATTGTGTTATATCCCCTCTTCATTTTTTACAATACCCATGGCTTCATTGCTTTCCTAACTGATTTTGATTTCTGCCCCAGAATTTAAATAAATGTGGCAATATATTCAAGAGGTCATCTTTATTCTTCTTTGCTTCCAATTATTCTTCCATTTTTAGCATTTGATATGTCTATATGAGTGATTTATTGTATAGAGAAATTATTTTCTTTAGTCCCTATTGAATAACCATAGTTTGCTTCTAGTAGGTTATGTTATATTTCTTCTGAGGAGGGTAAATTAATAATCAAAAACTTTGGGCACAGTTCAGTTAATGTACCTTTTGGTTCAAGTTCAAAAACTTTGGTTGTAAGTTTTTTTAAAATATTTTATAGGCTCTGAAACATCATAACCAAGAATTCCTAGTTGGTAATCATCTCAGCTTGGCAGATATACAATTGCTTGAAGCAATTTTAATGTTGGAAGAGAGAAAAGCTGATATTCTTACACCATTCCCTCAACTAAAGGTAATCTAGTAGTGATTATCACTCCAGCTTTTACTCGCATAATATAAATGAACATGCTGGTTCTGACTTATGCTGCCACTTAAGCCACAAAAGGAAGATCATAGGTACTGAAGTTCAGCAATGGGGATTTTTTTTTGGTCTCCATTTTGCCCACTGGAAGGAACTTTCCGGATGGTTCAAGAACTTGTGCCAGAAGACTCTGGAAGGCCTATTTGAACCATCTGTGATTGATTGAAGGATTTATGATTTTTTTCCCCTAAAATTCTTCATATCACCCAGTGGATTCACAGGATTGTTTAGGAAGATAGAAGGGAAGGGCTTAATGTATCTCATCTTCCTTGGCTTTCTTCTGTGCACCTTGAAGATGGGAACAAGGTGTTTAAGTAAGCTTGGATCATCACATGACTTTTAGATACAGTTCTCTTGTGATTATTGGTAATAGTGTCTGGAAGAGATTTTTTGAAGGCAATAAATTATGCTTCTTTAATGCGTTTCTCAACCAAAGCATGGCACCATCTTTGATGAAGGCAATTCTACCTCCATTGAAAAAAATCATTACCAATCCCAAAGAGGAGGCTGGGTTGGAATCGCTTAGTGGTGACATCAGCTGTACAGGTAGTCCTTGATTTACGACCACAATTGAACCCATGATTTCTGTCGAGACAGCAAGTCAGTTGCTAAATGAGTTTTGCCCCATTTGGGGCTCTCTCGGCAGAGTTGTTAAATGCATCACACTGCAGTTTGTTAAGTTGGAAATTTACATGGCTGTAAATTTCATCTGGCTTCCTCATTGACTTTCCACGTCAGAAGGCTGCAAAAGTTGATCACATGACCCCAGGAACCATCATAATTAAATGCCAGTTGCTAAGCATCCAAAGTTTGATCATGTGATCATAGGGATGCTGCAATGGTCATAAGTGTGAAAAACAGTAGACTCGTAAGTCACTTTTTTCAGTGCTGTTGTAACTTTGAGCAGTTACTAAATGAACTATTGTAAATCGAGGATGCTCTTTCCCTAGTTTGTTCAAAGGAAAGGCTCAAGCCTTTTTGTCCCAGGAATTTGCATTTCCTAGGTGTAAACAGAGGTGATATATTTATGTTTGTACATGTTTTTGGACATTATTTTATTTACAGATTTCTATTGTGTTCTCAAGTTTTATTGTGTTTTATGATGTGTGGGTTTTATCAATGCGTTTGATTTATATTGTCAACCACCATGAGCTGTCTTGGCTAGCGAATGTGTGGGTTATAAATTCAATATGGTAAACATTGTTTATTTATTGCTTTAGGCTTTCAAAGCAAGGATAAGCGCTTTCCCCACCATTAAGAAATTCCTAGAACCTGGAAGTCAAAGGAAACCCATCGCTGATGATGCTTATGTGGCTACTGTGCTGAAGGTTCTTCAGTTGAAGTTCTCGTAACATCATATCTGCTTGCCAGAGCATCAGATAATCAGACCCAGCACAAGCCAACAAGAATTCCATCTGGCTGCAAGGGATGCACCCCAATCCCCAAAGGGTTCCTTTTATTACTTAACCTCAGATAATGGTGCATCTCCCACCGAGCATCCCCACAGTTGTTTATCATGGCACAGTGCTGCCAGATGTGCTAAAGCCATGGAGCTTGCCTAGCTCTTCTTTTTGTTACCTAAAAGCAAAAGATTATCTGCTGGGATCAAAAATAATAAATGACTTACTCTTTGGTGCACATAGTTAAAGTGTATTAAATTCTTGCATTCAAACAATTTGACATAAATGTTTTCTTTCACCTGGAAAATGATCATTCATTCATTCATTCATTCATTCATGTTGCTTACAGACATAGAATCATAGGACTGGAAGAACCCATTATCTTCAGTACTATAATACAAATTGTTTGTTTAAATTCATCCAATACCCAACTCCAGTGGATTCTGGAGTTCACACTTTCTTGACAGATGGCTACGGGACAGTGGTGGGTTTCAAAAATTGTTCGAACCTACTCTGTGGGTGTGGCCTCCTTTGTGGGAGTGGCTTGCCACCCATGTCACTGGATGGGAGTGGC